TACACCTTTTCCAACACATTTGGAAACTTTAAAAATCTAAAGTAAATGAAGCCAAGTCTTAAATTTCAAACAATCACAAGCAGGCCATATTCTTTACCTAAATTACAATTAATTTTGCAATCTATAAAAAACTGCATTTAAATAATTTTCTACATTTATATGGAAAATGAAAAATATGCTTCTATATAGATACAATTTAAAAAAGAAACAATGGATATTATCTCCAAAGGACAAAAATAAAAATTCCACATTATCAAAATGGTCAGGCTACATCTAAAACAAGATTGAGAAATCAAATTCATGCCATTGGTAGTGCAATAAACTGACATTATGAGCAATCAGAAGTGTGCCTTGGTGTCCTGGCCAAAATCTTTAAGCAGGATCTAATTATGAAGATATATTTAGACAAATTGATACTGAGAGACAATCTGTAGAACAAACGGTCTGGACTGTTCTTCAAAAATATCAATGTCATGAAAGCCAAGAAAAGCCAAGAAAGGAGTTAGAATAACCAAACACAATGTAAAATCAATGATTCACCACTGAATCAAAACATAGACAGAACTCAAAATAAAGAAGTGATAACATTTTATCATGAAAAACATTAAAAAATCAACTATACATTACTTGATAGTTTCACATTAATGTTAAATTTCTTGCATGTGAAAATGGAATTGAAATTACATAGGAAATATCCTTGCTCCTAGGTAATGCATGGTGAATATAAAGTGTCATTATGTCTATAACCTATTTTTAAATGCAAAATTTAAGATAAGTAAAAAATTTCCCCAAAGGGGAAGTAAAATGTCTCTTAGTAAATAATAAAAATAAGTACTTTAATCACCATATTCAATGCTGATAATGTTAACAGCAAACTCCCAGTGGTCAAAGATGGAATAATTTCAATAACAAAGTAAATAATGACAGCACTGGGTTGTAACACAAAAACAATAAATCTCCATGAGTCTCTACTTACAGAAATGATTGAAGAAGAAAGAAAGAAGGAGGGAAGGGAGAAAAATAGAAAGGAAGGAAGGAAGGAAAAAGAAGGCATAAATTTTCTTTCCTGAAGAATTCCAAATAATATGTGTATATACTCCACCATCCAGGAGCTGGAACTGAATCACTATCTCCTTGAATGTGGGCTGAACTTACTTACATGCTTCCCAATAATAAAGCACAAAAAAGAAACGTACTGCCTTGCCAGAGGAGAATCACACCCTAAGTGCTCAAGGTCAGCATCGTCAGTGACCAACGAGGTTGACAGGATGTAACCCTCCGTTACAATATGAGAAGAAGGGTATATCACCTATTTGAAATGCTTCCCCAAAACCTATGACTTCAGTGTAATCACGAGAAAAGATCTGAAAAAACAAAATCGAGGGACATTCTACAAAATGCCTGACCAAAACTCTTCAAAACTTTCAAAGTCATGAAATGCAAGGCAAGAGATAAATTGTCACAGATTGGAGGAGACTAAGAAGACATAACTGAATGCAGTATGCTTATCTTGGGAAGGGTCCTGAAGCCAAGAAAGGACATAAAGTAAAAAGACTACTGGCATATGCAGAAAGTCTGTTATTTAGTTAATAGTATTTCAGGAATGTTAATTATTTAGTTATAGGAATGTGCCATGGTTACGTAAGATGTTACCTCTGGAGGAACCTGGGTTAAAAGCACAGGGAAACTTTGCATTATCTTTGCAACATTCTGTAAATGTAAAGTTGTTCTGAATTTTATAGTTTATATTTTTAAAAAAATCAAATTCTAAAATTAGGAAAAAGACAGAGATAACTGCCAATATAATCAAATACGTAATAAAACATGGGTAAAAGAGTGAAAGATCTGGAAGGAAGAAAGATTTTTTTTTCATGAACTATGTGAGTTTTACATAAATTCAAAATAATCCCCAGGACTATTAAATTAATTCAGAAAGTTATTCAAGATGGCCAGACCAATACTAAAACATATACTGCGTTTATAAATACCAACAATCTGCAAATAGAAATATGATTTTCTAAAAGGGGTTTTTAGGAACGTCTATAAAGAATATAGAAACAAATCTAAATAATGCTGGATAACATCTTCATAGAGAAATTTGACAACTGTATAGGCAATTAAAAAAGGCCCAATAAGTGGAGAAAAAAAATTATCAAGAATAGGAAGAATCATTACAATAAGGATGTCGGTTCTCTTCAAAATGTTCTCCACAGTCAATGCTATAGAAATAAAAATCACAACAGGAGTTTTCAAGGAACTTCACAACCTATTTTTAAAAAAATAATATTAAATTGTAAAATAGCATGGATGTCCAAAAGAAGAAAATGACAGTCCTATATCACATAGCTTCTATGATGCTGCTATTACTAAGACAGTGTCATTGCTGCACAGATTGGCACAATTGAGCAAAAGAGAAGAGAGCCCAGAAACAGACCAGATCATATACAGAAATATGACCTACAAACTAGCTGGCTTTGCACATTACTGGGGGACAAAGTATCTATTCAATAAATGATGTTGGAATACTACTGGATAGCCTAATGAAAAACCTCATACCATAGACAAAAATAAGTTACACATAGATTAGGGACTTAAACATGAAAAGCAAAACTTATATGGCCAAACAGTCCAATTAAAAGCTGGGCAAAAGACATGATCAGGCATTTCACAGAAAAGGAAATATGAGTAGCAGATAATAACATGAAAATTTCTCAATCCTCATAGGAATCAGGAAAAACAAATAAAAATTAATAGAAGTACACTTCCATATTTACCATACTACCAAAAATTAAAAGAATGACAAATCAAAAGGGTGGTGAGAATGTGGTCCAACAGAAATCTGTGTATATTGTTGGTAGGTGTGTAAATTGGTCACCTTTAAAATAAATTCAACTCTACCTAGTAAAATTGAAAATATAAATGTCTTAAGGCAGCAACGCCATTCTTCGATATAAACTCAAAGAAAATTGTCTTGAACTTTGGACAAGAAGAACTAGAAAACAAGCCAAACATCCATCAAAGTAGAACAAAGCAGACAAAAACGGGTGACATGTAGATAATGGGGTACTATACATCAAGGAAGACAAATGATCTAAGCTATCTAAATCAACATGAACTAACTTTTAAAAACATCATACTGTCTATATTGCTTGTTTTGAAATGCATTATCAAGTCATAAAAGTAAATACACAGTATTATCCCACTGATAAGTATTTCAAAACAGAAAAAACTCAATTTACTTTTTATAGATAGTACATAGGGAAATGTACATGTGGTAAAATTAGAAAGAAAATTAGGAGATCAAATAAAAGAAAACAGGATGATGATTATATTTGCAGGGACAAGAAGCTGCATTCAGGGAGGAATAAGAGATGGGGGTTTCAGAACTACCCTGGAAGCATCACTCTTGAGTCTCAAAGCTAGTGAAGCTGAGGCATGCTGGATGATAAAGTAATTTTTATTACTTAACTACTAATTTACATCACTATGTACACACACACACACACACACACACACACACACACAAAAAAAAAAAAATGCTGCCTCTCCTGTAACTTAACCCACTAGGCATTCAGGTGTCATGGGCAGGTGTCCTGTGACCCTGCTGGCATTGACCTGTGGGGATCGGGGCTAAGGGAACCGGAGAGAAGCGCTGATCCTCTGGCTTCTTCTGTAGGGCTACGTCCTGGGTCTCTGTCCCAGGAGTCTCCTGTCTTTGATCAGCATCCATGACACTGGCTGCCTAACTTGCTCTTTGCAAGCAGGGCAAAATCTTAAAGCCTTCACCATTTTTGACAAGATTAAGGAATCTTGTATATGAAAAGAAGACCAGAGGTGCACTAAATGGGTACTAGGAAAAATGGGTTTTAGCATCTGTTTAGGTATAAAATACGAATAAGATCTAGGGCAGCTACTTTACTTCTCTGATCTCTGTTCCCTTATCTATAAAATGAAGGGCTGAATAACAATCTCTCAAGACAGGACAGCTTCTAGTTCTCAAAGTTAAAGATTATAGATATGAGAAAAAAATAACATGAAATGCATAGTCCCAGAAAGAAGAAATATGAAAAAAAGTCACTATGTAAATGTTAAAAATACAAATTGTGATGACAGCAAGTACAAAGTTTATTTCATCTGTACTGAAATATTTATCTCTAATATACCATAAAGTGAAAATTCTCTTTTAACTTGTATATCAAAGAGAAAATAAAGAACCCCACAAAGAAGCCCAAGTAAAGTATTTTGATGATACACAAATGCCACTGAAGTGAAAAATCTTCAGTAAGACCACCCAACCTTGACAAGTGTATTCACATAGGATTTAAAGAGTAATATTTGTGTGACATACAGTAGGTGGTCTTTTGCGTGGGTGAAATACTCCAGCTGACTTTGGTTCATGAATGCATCTTGGAGAATAATGATGAATTTCTACCTGGCTAACCATGTTAGACTAAATTTCAAATTCTGCTTTTAGAACTGTGTTACTTCTTTGTGGTGAAATATCCAAACTTCTTAATCTTATGTGTGTGTATGTCCCCATCTGTGTATCTAGGTAATATGTAATCATGAATACTGCTTTTTCTTTTAATGGCTTATTGTTCATTTTATCGACTTGGCTATTAGGAAGCACAAATATAAAATATTTGGCACTAATTAACAGTTAAGTTTTTCTGGCACAACTGCATTCCTTTACTTGGCTTTTTATTCTCTGTTCCTTACTATAAATCATTCTACTCTCTTTCTATTTTTTACCATAAGCTAATTCAAATTATTTTCAGACATAGATAGAAACTAATGATGGCACATGTACAGTATGTGACTTCTATTTTTAAATGAATATTTTAAATGAAACAGAGGTCAAATAAGGTTGTAAATTTTGTGACTCATCAGAAAAACCAAACAGAACAGAAGATGCTATTCAGAATCACATCCTCAAAATAGGCAACTTGGAAGACTAGTAATTGTTACACCGCATTTGCATTTCAAGTATGATAACTTACTTGCATATGTCATCTTCTGGGTCTTCAAGCCCAAATCTTTCATCAAATGTAAGCTGTATCCATACATTTTCCTCTACTGCTACTAATCTCCACACCAAGACCATATTTCTTGGATAAGTATGAGGAAACCTCGGGCTGTGAATACTTCCATTAGAAGACACAGCAATAATTCTCTCATGCTGGGAATCTTGTACTCCTAAAGCAAAAACATAGGCACACAGACATACATTTAGAACAGACATGTCAAAAATTATAGGTTTCAAAGTAAATGTTTTTTTTTTTAATCATTCATAGTTTACCCCAAACAAGTGTTGGGTATGTGTTATACAATATAAACCAAACTCTTTTTTGGAATTTATCCAGAAAAAAAGGAGTATTTTAATATTATTGCTAAAAACTTGTGTATCTTTATACCTGAAATAACATAATAAATTAGTCTTCTAAATCTAATTATTGAAATGTCAAACTGCAAACTCTTTCGGATTTCTAAAATCACAATAAACCTAGTTAAGACCCTATCTCTAAAAACTTAACAAAATGAGCCATATTAAATAAAAAGAAACTTGATATAACTCTATTTTAAAAACTACAAATAATTAAATCACCTAATTAAAAAAATAAGAATTGGAGGGCAGAATTAATTATTTAAATATTTGCCTTAATTTTGTATATGACAAAGCATGATGGTTTTTAAGATAAGATAGTCGAGGAAAATGAATGTGTTGACGTAGATGTAGTGTAGATAAAAGATGTAGTAATATAAGAAGTTAACAGTTCCTCTCACTGATCTATTAGCATAAATGTCAACTTGCATATCACATCACACTCCATATGCAGCTTTCTTCACCTGTTTTTTATTCTTAATACTTTAGAAACTAAGCTGATAAACTGACCTCAGTAGCAGTTTATCATTTGGGCCTATAACTTCTGAAAAAAGGTATCCTATATAGCCCAAAGTTTTGCATGAACTGTAGTTACTAAGTGACTTCAAACTGCAAATGACCTTGAAAAGGGAAAAAGGTCAAAATAATGGTCTCACTTTCATGTTGCAAGGGAACTATTAGCACTCTATGAAGACATTAAAAGAAATGTTGCAGGACTTCTCTGTGACTTTAATATGCTAATATGGGTTTTAAATTTCTAAGAGGAGAATATAGCATAAAACAGCTTCCAAGTTTACTAGGCAATCTTTTACAATGTGAAATGCTAAAATAATATCTCTCTTTCTTTTGATTAGAGTGCTGGGAGGGAGAGATGAGGAGGACAGCAAACTGGTATTGCTGAGACATAAATGTTCTTATACCTACCTACTTCATAGTTAGTAACGACAGGATATTCATAATGGATATTTGTAAAATATCCTATTTTACAGTCCTTTTGCTTACACAAAAAATCTAATTAGTAAGGTAGTTATGATCTTTTGGGCCACAAAAATTCAACCCATTTAAGTACACTAGATTCCATGAGAAAAACAAAAACTTTGAAAATACCTTTTATTTAATTTCTAATGTGATTTTATAAAAATATTTTAAGAATTCTAAACTGGAACTTGAACATATGAAGTAATGTACATGATATGATATCCAACACAATTTTTTGGTGTAACTTATATATGCATAATATCAGGAAAATGCCCAATTATAAGCGGTAGCAATACCTCCCTCATTAGTTTTCATAATTCAGAGATATGCTTCATAACACTAAACTTTGTATTTGCAGTATTAAGAAATAATCAAGTATAAAAATCAAACAAATATTCATATTTGACCTGATTCTTTATAGTTCATGATGCGTGATCAAAACCGAAAGTTTCTGTCATAACTGCCCTTGTACTGTTCACCATGTAAGAACTTATTCACTATGTAAGAATTTGTTCACCATGTAAGAACTTGTTCGTTATGCTTCAGAAGATCGGAGACTGATTAGAATTAGGCTTGAGATGGATTAATGATTGTGCATTGAGTCCCCTATACAGAATTTTATTGTTGTTAACAACCATTTGATCAATAAATATGAGAGATGCCCTCTCAAAAAAAAAATAAATAAATAAAACTACCATTACTTTATACATACCATTATTCATTCATTTGCCTTTCTCCCAACATTCAATCTTTCAATATATACATAGTTACTTCTAGAAATGGGATGGATTTTGCATTTTATCTACTCCTTTTAGGTCTTCAAACTATGGGATTAAGCAAGGCTTAATAAATCATATGAGATTTTATACCAAACTCAACATTTTTCTTCTGTCTTCTTTTTTCTTTCAGTGACAGTTTTCTGTCTTTTCTTATTTTCCATTTCATCTACCTCCCATACTGTAGTTCCCTTTTAATCAGCTAATCTCTTAGTCCTCAGTTTCCCTACTCTGTATCTTAACTTCTATGTGCTCTCACACTGACTTCACACCATGATCTCACTTCCCTCTGTGGTAGGCAGAATTCTAGGGTGATCCCAGTGTCCCTCCCCCTGCGTAATCCTCTGCCTGGAGTGGGTGGAAGCTGTGAAAATGCTGGGAATATTATTTCTGTGACTAGACTAGTTAACTTTCAGTTAAGCAATAGGTGGACTATCTGGGTGGGCCTAACCTAATAATAGGGTGTATCCTTAAAAGAAGTAGGCCCTTCCTAAACACAGAGAAATTCGGTGTGACAGTGATTCGAAAGGAGGAAAATTCTTTGTTTCTGGCTTTGAAAACAGAGGAGGCGATGTGCCAAATGATGTGGGAAGCCTCGGTAGCTGGCAGCAGTCTATGGCTCACATCTAGTAAAGCAATGGGGACCTCAGACCTGAAGCCTCAAGGAACCTGAGCGAGCTTGTAAGTATATTCCTCTCAACAGCCTCGAGGCAGGAATCAAGTCTGGCTGATGCCTTGATTTTAGTCTTGTAAAACTCTTAGCAAGAACCCAGTCACGCAGTACCTGAACTTCTGACCTGCAGAGCTGAGAGTGAATAAAGAGTGTTTTAAACTGCTAAGTTTTTGTTCATTTCATACATAATATTAGAAAACTAATACATCTTCTATTGTGCAAATTAGAAAACTAATACATCTTCTATTGTGCACACAGCTGTTTGGGTTACTAGTATTTGTCTCTGCTCCCATTCTTCAGCAGCAATTACAGTAATTGCAGCAACTTTTCACTTAGTACTTTTGTTACTCAAAATACATTATTTCACATTGATAAAATGCAATTTAAGAATATTTCTTTAAGAAACTTTTTGAATTTAAATGATTAAATGTCAAGCTCACGTATTAGAATATTATTAAGGTTAAAGAATAACCTGTTGTATTGTTAAACACCCAAAAATAATTTTAACAAATTGTAGTTATGATTTTGACAGCAGCTTTTTCATTCTCTTAAACTTGGCTATTTCAACACCTCTTAAGTACTATTTCATATTTTCTAACTTACAATTAGGAAGATAAGATAAGGACAAGTATAACTTCCCTTGACTATATATACAGTGCAAATTATGAGGAATATCATCACACTCAAAATAGGCCTTAATTGTCACAGGATTTTTAAATTAAGTAAATAATTTAATGCCACTATTCTCAGTGCTTATATTTGTCCTGAGCAATAAGTAACCTACACAGAAACATGTTTCCTCTTATTGGATGCTAATATTTGACACCGCTGTTGGTTATATTACATATGTGAAATACCCAATACCTCTCCTATGCACATAATTTAGTGCTAGTAATCTCCTAAGGGCACAGAAGGATCTATCAAGTTAGATGAATTCTCCTCTATGCTGACAAATTCTATTAGGAAAATGATGATAATTTATTGCTAAAATTATATTTAGTAAGTTACCTATTTCTAAAAATTCCTTTTAAAAATGAGATATTTTCCCATTCTCTTGTTTTCTTCCAATAAGCTACATATTTCAGAGGCATTTATAGCAGCAATTTATATCAAGAGTCCTTCTCATTTTGGCAATATTTTTAACAAATTAATTTTTCTAATCAGATTAAAATTTAATATTTGCCCATTTTTGTCTCAAAACAAATTCCTTTTATAATCCAAGGTACTCTTTACAAATACAGTGGTGTTCACTATTTCACATATAATCTAGAAAACTACATGGCTACTGAAAGACCTGAATTAGATTTTTCAAAAATGCATCATGGCTAAAATGCATATACTTAAATTATGTTTACATCTTTTTTTTCCCCTTTATGATTCATAATTCCATTAAACTATAATTAGGCATAATTTAAAGACTGATAAACCAGGGCTTATTTATGGTGAAAGAATTGTGAATTTCTTTTTAAATCAAATTGCTGTTCCCAAAAATTCACCTAAAAATGTAGTGAGGTTTGCCACCAAACAAATTATTTGTACATGACTGTCAAAGTTTTATGTAAATCTCAAACAACTAGCCCTACAATCAAAAAGGCAAAAAAACTAACAAACATTAAATTCTACCAAATCAAGACTCTGCATTTATAGTTCTCTTGTTCAAAAAAAATCACCTTTCCAAACACGTGACTTTACTAGTATCTTAGAGATGAGACAAATATATATTTTATGACTACTTAACTGAACATGTGCTTTTCCTATGTCCAGTTAGTTGACAGTACACTCAAAGAAAGTACCAATGAAATGAAGCCAACATTTGTAGTAAAATCACTAAAATATTCACAACATGCTCCTTGAAATGTATCCTAAACAAGAATTAAGTTTTGTTCACCTTAGTTCCTGAGCTTAGAAGAAAAAATGAAAAAATAAACATTAAATTTAAAACATGACTACACACCATTTGATATCATCCTGCCCAACCCCTCTTAAAGTAGAAGTATTGATAACCAAAATGAAACCAAACTAGAAAAGAAAAGGAAAGGAAGAAAGATTGATAATATAAATTCTATGAAAACACTAACTTGATATATGCACCCCATGTTCACTACAACATTACTTACAATAGCCAAGATATGGAAACAACCCAAGTGTCCATCTGTGAATGAATCGATAGACAATATGGTACATATATACGAATGGATTATTATTCTTCCATAAAATGAAAGAATCTTGCTATTTGTGATGAGGTCATTTGCTAAGTGAAATAAGTCAGTCAAAGAGAGACAAATACTGTAGGATCTCACTTATATGTGGAATCTTAAAAAATAAAAAAAAAAGCTCATAGATACAGAAAACATATTGGTGGTTACTAGAAGTCAGGGGGAAGGGG